TCCCCCAGCTGGTCTGGTGGTTTATTTGGATTACATTGATAATATGCTCTTGCTGGATGACGGTCCGCAGGCCATCCAACTTGCACTCAACCGCTTGGCGATTGAAGCATCAAAGTATGGGATAGCGGTTTCCCACCCAAGTGCAAGGCTCTTTTCCCAGAGCTTGCACCTGCACTCACTCTTGGTGGTGAGACACTGGAGGTTACATAATGTTTTGCCTATCTAGGTAGTTGTATCACAGCCTGCACTGCCATGAAATCCATCTATCCATCAAAGGGTGGGCTTATTGTGCGACTGTCCACGCTGTATTGTTTTACGGTTGAGAGATTTTGCCCGTTCGTATCGTTGACCTGTGCTGTCTCGCTGTCTTTGAGCACCCTAACTTGAAGCCCATTGCCCGTGTGTGGTGGCTGCACCACGTAACCAATGTTGAGATCAGACAGCGTATCTTGGGTGGAGGTAGCTACTCGCTTGAGTAGCTCGTCCTGCTGCGACATCTACAATAGCTTGGACACGCACTGCGCCGCCCATTCATCGCCTTCCGTGTCGGGCTTTGTTCACGTGTAGACGGCGCGGTGGACAACCTGTGACATAGAGAAGAAGCATTAAATGACTGACGAAATTTCGGATTTGGTCGGTTGTCCTCGGATGTGTATATCTGCGCGTTGCGGTGATTTCCCTTCCCTTATAAAATAAAGAATTAGGAAACTCACCATCTGTGATTGGAAGAACCACTGAAAAATGCTTCATGCCTTTTTCTTCCTATTCGTATTCTGTTTTCTTCCGCCATGGTTCTGATGGCATAATATCTGTGCCACAGATTGTGATATATATATATATATATATATATATATATATATATATAGGCATGGCGAACAAACAGTGAGTTTCATTCGTTTTTGCAAGTTCTTGCCATCCGACCCTCACGTACTGCGCCGTACAATCCAGCGGCGAACCGATTGTCCAGCGCTGCAACCGGTTATCGAAAGAGCGTATCCAAGCTATTCCTCTGTCTGGCAGAGATTGGGAAGTACAATTTTACAAGCACTCTTCCTATAGCATCGCACAACGCTGAGCAACGGACAAGACGCCGGCGGAACTTATGCTTGTGCGTGCTCCATCAATAAAGTCGAATGCCACACGTCCTATTCTTGTAAATATCAACACCGGCGAGTTGGAGCGCCCACAGAAATATACCTTAAACCGCCTACCAGAAGTCTACTATTCTTTTCCAACCGGGAGCATTGGTAGGCATCAAGGGAAACATAGGGTCAACAAGTTAACTCAAGTGGTCGGAACCCTTAAGGATAACACGCGTCTTGGGACCTAGCACTTATCAGTTGACAGATAGCCCTACGGTCAACACGACGAGGATAGTCACAAGTGGCAAGCAAGCGGATTAGGTCCCAACCCCTTGCCTTGGCGAGAATGCGAACTGACCGAAGTTACTCAGGACAGACCGAAAGATAAGGCCACCAGACCGATATGGATTTGAGGCTCCATGACATGACAAGAAGGGAGATGATGTTGTGTAATCCCCTCATACGTTCAGACTCGTCGTTGTATCCGCACTCGTCATTGACCAGCGCATACACACGCGCACACCACCGGTCATCCTTTCTCACCTCTGTAGGTATTGATTTTAGGTAACCATGACCTGAAAGTACACTGCTACTTTGTACATAGTGGTTTTAGTTGCTTGCACAACATCATCAGTTGACAACACGGCTAATTCATGCGTTTGTGTCAGCACGTTTTCGACTTGGGTCTCAGTATCAGCTGACGTTCGTTACGTCTGGGATAACAATTTCGAACCGATTAACAATATTTCTGGCAGTTCAGTCCAAAGTATCAAGTAGGGTTGGGAACGTAGTCTGTGGCTTCATGGGGCTGTGATAATGCCAAAGGGAGGCTTTTTTGTACTGTTCCATCCATCATCTGTTGAAGATATCCAAGAAACTGCTGATGTTACCCTGGAGTGAATGCAGCAACACTGGATTGTCTGTGGGCGATGTTACATTGAAGTTCAAAAATATTGTCGCAGTACCGCGGTGGTTTAGCAAGTGAGGACGGGACGGTTTCAAGTTCGGATAAATATAATTTTGACGAAGTCATTTCCAAAATATAGTTGGATATTCACTAATGTTCGTACAATTATTCAGAACCCGAACACAGCTGTTAGCTTCAGCACTTTTTGTGGAACCATTAAGAAATGATTAAGATCATTGACCACGTGATGATGCTTTGCACCTTTCAACTTGTGGAACAATCTCAGCATATGACAGAAAACCCAATTTTGAGGCGAACAATTGTTTACACTGATTCATATAGGGGCAGATGCACATCATGTATGGTTTAAATACAAAGAAATGGCCAATTTGGAACATACACCTACGTGTATGGCGAACAAGGGCACCGGAGTACTTACAAGCGATGTTTTGCCCTATTTCTGCGAATCAGGTCACCGGGTCAACCGTTTGAATGCGATTGCAGTGGTTTACCTGTTCCCCTTATCAAATGAATATGTTTGCGGTTAAAAGTGCTCGCCACGACCATTGCGTTCCGAATGTTTCAACCCCGATGTGCTCTCACAAATCGCTCGTTCAATCTTTGTCTGCATAAGCAGCACAGCCGTCAGTCTAGCCATCACTGTGACACCGGTTCTAACATTGTGATTTGCGCAACGCTCAATCAAATTGTGTGAACGAGACAGTGACCAACTAGTTGCTGTCTTACCACTGGATTAGTTCTTTCGGAACAGGCCTTCTGAACGAATCACTGTCACCTCGTTTACGTTTGACCCAGAATGATTTGTACTGGTTTGCAGATAAACTAATAAAGTGTACTGGTGTTCTAAGTGAATCTCGGACAGTGTACACTATAGATAATTGAGATTCGTCACAGGCAGCTCCCAAATCAGTCTTCCACATGCCCGGAAAATGTACCATATGTTGAATGCTGCGCTCATGGAGGACGACTCATTACACACGATCAGCACAGGCGAATCTGATGAGCCCTGAAAAGTGAAATATATCGTGCCTCCTTACCGTCAGCGCACCCAAATTTTTGATGACACCAACGCACGACCGTTATCGAAGATATTCAAGGTGTTTCGGCTACTTACATACTACTCAAACAATTTTACTAGGGCGTTATAATGTGAGATCCCTCATAGAAGCGTGCGATTTGCATACAAGCAATTAAAGCCCTGCCTTTTTATTGGATCCTCCAACCTACTTATTTGCAAAGACCTCAAGCAGCTTATGTCTGTCTTACTCTGACGTTTGACTTGCCTACCATTGCGTTCTATGGGGGAAAACAATGAGAAACTGTTATTTCGGCCTACACACAGTTTAGCTTAACCATGTCATGTTCACAAATGAAGACCGTGGGTAACGGTACTAACTCTGGCTGAATCAGTCTCATGAATGTTGTCCTGTGAAAGAATGCGATTCAAAACCCAAGTATTTAACCATATATGGTTTATGCTGTGTTTGTGCTTCAAGATGCTTCCTTCATGAACAGCACCCATAAAATAGCATTACCACCGGTGAGAAAGTTTGACCTTGATTTGCGGGTAAGCATTTTCTTCTTAAATAAGCAACGAAAAGGAATTGTACCACAGTACACATTAGACGCTGTACACTTTCAATCGTGCTCAATGTGTAAATGGATAAATTCCCTTTAGTGAAATCCATAAATTATTTCAAGGTGAATGGCGCAAAGGCAGAAATCTACCACAGCGAACCGGATGGCTTCTAATGCCTTCTCAAGGGTAATTTGCTGAGGCGTATAAAACAAATTCAGCAGCACTAGGTAACTAGTACATTATGTAATGCTGCAGTAGCTACTTTATAAGTGGCCGAACTAGGTTAGGCTATTTAATCTTACTTTAACTTCTGCCGATCCTGTTCATTGAAGGCTCTCTGGTTAACATGGAATCTAACAGGGAACGCCAACCGTTCCGTGTTGGACGTACAAGTGAAGCGACGTGCATTATCGATCGAATTTACAAGCCTTGTGATGATAAGCCGTTAACTGCTAAGCGTTTTCTCAATGCGCAACAGTTCACACATATTTTATGAGAAAAATTTGTATACGGAATCACGTACTAAAGTTAGCATCCGCCCAGTTCATACATCTTCATGAGTCACGAGCGAAGCTCTGTTTCTGGAGCAGTTAGCAGGTGACGTCACTGGACGCTTTCCAGTAGATGGTGTCAAATTTCGAACGCAAGCGGTTAGTCGGTTAAGTAGAAAAAATTCTTGTTAGATGGGATTTCATTTGTGGAGAAGGTTATTCTGAACCCCAAACCCCGTAATACTACATTTTACAAAACATAGCTGTTGTCAGTAGACATCATGTCTTTCGGAATCAACCCTGTGCTCTTCAGCTTTCGTAAACTGGATCGTAGTGGAGGATAATAGGCATCTGCGGTACTATGGTAGCCGTACCCATGCTTCGCTGCGGCGAAACCACCATCGGTCACACGTGGACTGAGGATACTGCGAGGGTCGTCCTGCCGCTAAAGCAAGATCGGACCCGCGCCGCCAGATTGCGAGACGAGCTCATTAAACTTAGGCTATGGGCCGGCAGTGAAGGACAATACGCGCTATATCGCAGGAAGCCTGTAACTCAATACAGTCCATCGCTGTCCTCCATTGCTCAGTGGCATGATCTGCTGAATGTCGGTTCAACCCGCTGGTGGTCATGGGTTCGAATCCTGAAGGATCCATTGGATGCGCAACACTGATGATATCGAAGACGTTGAAACTGCAGTCTAGTGCTCTGCCAGGCCTGTGGACAACTATTTGATTTGGAAGCTGCTGCAATGAACTATCAATGAATTACTAAGTTTTCTACTCTAATGCTCTCAGTTTACACTAAAGTTACCCTGTTTGGAATGAAGCGGTTTATTAGCAGAAGATAAAAACAACCTTAGAGTAACAAACTGATGAGGTTGCTGAATACCTGCTATGTTAGGAGATTGTAACACTTACCTTTTTGCAAAACTCCTCTGAGAATTCCTTGTAATAAGGGGAATGTACATCCAGAAACTCTTCCCGCCATTGTCTCAGTACAACAGTGGAAATATAGATGCCAGTATTCCCTAAAGGACAAATAGGTGAATCTGAGATGGGAGTCATATTTTATCAATATAAATCTATTTAATAACTGAAAACCTACCCGGATGGATGCGGAATAATGATGAGGGAGATCCCACCGATGACGCGGACGCAGATACACCGAAGATGTTCAGTAGGTTTCTGGTGGCCGCGGTAAGTTGTTTGTCACCAATCATAAAGCGACGGGAAGAGGAAAACTGTGATTTGAGGTCGGTGTGCTGAATAGACCTGTCAGCACTCCGAACAACCATGCTTCCGAATAGAAATGTCACTCTTGTCCCATTTGCATCTACGTGTTTCTTTGGGTTGCCCCAGGCACCCTGCTGAATGGACATATGACATGTACCAGCTACCCTTACCAGGCTGCTTTCCGTTCCTGAAAACGTGGTGTTGCTTTGCGCACATTCAAAGCGATGCAGCGATGTTTGGAATGGTGGACGGACAGCGGGCAATGTTTTGAATGAAAGTATGCTTGATATGTTGGCACCAACCCTTGGGTAACATGAGCAATTGTAGGTGGGTGCGTGTGCGTGATAAACAGCTTTCGAGAGCTGGACATGGGGAAGCGTACGCATGCGGGTTTGGCGACAATTCAAGCTCGCGGATTGTGTGGCCAAACGTTTTACGGCCACTTTGTGTGCAAATTCATAAACATTTACTATGCCTGTGTTTCCGGTACCTAGCTGGAATACTCCGTATGATATAAATTTGTCAGGGCGTGCCGAATTGTTGGTATGATTAGGGCTGTCGTTGTTTTGAGTGCCTATGTGAGCGATACAAATTCGTAAATGTGTGCTTGTCGTTGATACTACTAATGTGGTTGCTGTTGTGTAATAATAGGTTTTGATTCCCTGTATGACACTTGTGTTCGATGTATTATGCTGAAAGTGTGTGAAAGTGTGACGAATGGGTGCTTGGTTATGTGGTGGCGATTTAGCAGTCTCGGTGATATAGTGAGTTGCTACTTTGTCTGTAGTGTGTCTTGGAGCTGGTAGCATCGTTTTGAACCTTTTGTTAGGACGTAGCATGTTCACCGGAGACTTGTTGTTGGGTGTCTTTAGTCCCCAAGGTTGGCCCACCAAGGGTGCACGAATTAATAGCAAATTCGTCCATCCATTCTCTGTTCCACTTGTCGCATTTGCACGGTGGACCCACAGCACTGCGCTTTTGGTGGGTTCCATACAAACGTCAGTTATATTACTGTTTGACTGGGCATCTATTTCAGCCACTGTGGAAGCAGTCAAGGCACTTGATGTTCTTACCGTGTTTGTGAAGGCGTTATTACAATTGTCAATATAGCGCATATCGGTGGTGTTACGTACACTGTTTTTGCATACACGGACGACTGAACCGGTGTCTTGAGTTCCTGGTTCTTTATTCATATGTACATCTCCATTGGTTACAGACTGATAAACTTCCAGGAGTGAAATTCCTATCCGTTGTGTGTTCGGTGCGTTCACATGTCCAGTGTCCCCACCGCCGCAATGGAATTTTGCCAGCAGTACTGTTGCAAGGAAACGAAGCATTTAGCGGAAAATTTTCCGAGTCTGTTTCATTCAGATCTGTAATATGTAAGGCGGAAAAACTATGCTTAGTCCTCTTGAAAACTAAGCCAATGACCAAGGATGCTATAACATGTATGTTAGTGTTATTGAGGGCATTTGTGACCAAATTCACATGTTTACAACTAGCAAACTGCAAGTACTACTGAGCCATCCACACCTTTTAGTTTACCGTCACCGTCAGTGCCGCAGTATCCTCATATTACTCCGACACAACAAACGAGTAATGCCAATGCGTCACTGTGGCATAACCACGATACTTTCAGCTCCGATTATAGTTTGAAGCGTGACGGGCAGTCCAATTTGGCAGCCAAGATGGACAAACGGTAGTGCTTCGTCTCTTGTAGCCACTACAGATCGCCTTGAAGGTAAATGGTAAGTCGAGTAAAACATCAGACTGATGCACCTAGAGTAGGTGAATGCTCATCTCTGACACAAACGAGCGTATACCACTGTAACAATTAAAGATCATTTCGAGCAAATGCATCAAAATTATAATTATACTTAATATCCTCATCCTCATCATCATCGTCATCATTATCATCATCACAGCAGCATCCCACTTCTTTTTCGTTATCTTTATTTTACTCTTCCTCTTCTTTAGCCTTGCCATCATAAACAGCATTATTGTTTGAATAACAGCGACTACAGTACATCAGGTATCTGAACCGATTCTTCTCTGCCGTACTGTCGCGACGACACACAGAATGAATATTAATAACAGGAGAATAGGGAGTACAGGAAGAACAGTGCCCTATGCAAACTTTAAGGGACAAGGCGCCTGCAGTTTGCAAGAGGGCCGTTACAAACAGCTAGCTAGCTTGCAAAGATAAGGCGGTATCATTGAGACAGCTTTCTTGCGGCTTTCATTGACCCTCGTCAAAAGCAACCATTTCCCAGTCGAGAACTCAACACATAAGACGCCTTAAACAGGCAGTCAGACAAGCAGACGGCAGCAGACTCGCCACTGGTGTCGACTGCAAGCCACGTCCTCTAAGCTCTCGAGAGAAGCACAAGACGATTCACGTAGACCCAGCGTGGAGGGCTTGAGTGACCGTTGGCACCCAGTTTTGTCGTCAGTGTCTTCGTTTCTGGCTTACGAGTTATCTTTCACTCATCAACGGAACGTGCGCCAACCTACATCCGGAAACCGAAACAAAGCCCTCTCGGTAAGTGTTGACCAAGCATGCCTACTACGTGCGGAAGCCAACACGGTTTATTCAATGCCATCTGCTGTTCCAATTCCCAGTGGTCAATCGTGTAATGCGGATAAAAGAGCCAAAGCTTGACATGTCCCACCGGATTATCGATTAGGCATGAGCCAAATGAAGGCGAAATTGCACTAGTGAACAACCAAAAAATAGTCGATTTGCCGGTTGAAGTGCTCTCATCTGATGAGTACTCACTTGACTTTATGTATTATCCCAAGTCACCGTCTGTGGTTCCCAGGCAAAGATAGCAGTAGGTTATTGTATACTTGTTTCCTGCTATTTGTGGGTCCTTTATGTTATGTGATATGGTGTAATATAGCCAATACACCATCGACACATGCTTTAAACACGGCTATCGTGAGGGCTGAAATAACAGTTTCCGAGAGCGTATTTCATATGCGACAAACACAACGAGAAGAAGTTTCTTCGACACTCCGATCGGCTGCATTGTTCGGCCAATTTGGGATGATAATCTCTCAGTCTGTTATCTTGACTCCGCTTCCACATATGATGGCACGAGTGATTAAGCTTGTGTAGCATTTGAGAAACATGATCAGATTACAACTCACACATCGGTAGCGTCCGCTGAAAACGCTTAGCAAGCTGAGACGCTGTTCATATGACAAGTGGCGCAGTACTTTGACATTTTTGATCGACCGAATCACCAAGGCAGCAAGATCTTGCTATGGCCATGGATGCCATACTAGAATTGCATATTCTACATGGCGGCGCATGTGAGCGGGAAGTAGTTGGCGGAAAACCGACGTTACGTAGTGTCCGAAAGCTCTCTGTGGAAGCCACACCCTCTGAATCCCCTCCTCCAACGCTTTTATGGAGTATTTCTAGCAACCCAGATCTTCTTGGACAAGCACACCCAGCTTTTTTCGTGAGAACATTGTTACAGATCCTGGTTCCTCAGCTTATATGTATGGAACCATTCGGTGTCGTAATTGGTGCACTGGACATTTAGCTGCATTTAATTAGAGGCGATCTTTTTCTCGAACACTAACAAATATTGTCCATGTCGTTTTGAAGCTGGACACGGTCTTCTGAAGCTCTGCTCGCAATACTTTCAGCTCCAATTATAGTTTAAAGCGTCAAGGGCGGTCGCATTTGGCAGCCAAGGTGGGCAAACGGTAGGGATTTATCTCTTGTGGCCACTGGGCATCGCCTTGAATGCAAATAATAAGTCGAGTCATATATGAGGTTTATGTACTTGGAACAGGTGAATGCTCAGCCCCGACTCACTAACATCTAGAGCACAGTAAAAAATAAAGACCGTTCCGAGTAAATGCATCATAATTATAAGTACAATCATCATAATCATCATTAGCAGAATCATCATCATCATTTTTGGGTAGTTGCCTGGATTCCTCCACGAATCCGGATCAACGGTTTCCTGATGCTTCAGGCAAGCCCAGCGGTTCCTACCGCGGTCTGCGCGTAGCCTTTACTAACGTGTGCAGTCGGATGAACAACCGCGATGTGCTGTACTATTTTGTAAGCTCTCAGCGACCAGACGTACTAGGCCCCGCTGAGACATGGTTAAACTCCGACATAACCGCCCAAGAAGTGGAAATCAGCGGCCAATCACGCTTCCGCTGTGATAGACCATCTAATGATCGCGGTGACCTTCTACTTTACATAAAGTCTTCCTAGTGTGGGAGACTAGTGAGCGCCTGCAGAAGCGCTGATGGTCCATGTGAGCAGTTATGGTGTTCGATTCACCTCAGACGCTGCGAGTTGCTCGTGGGCGTGATACATCGCAGTCCACTGTGCCGCTGTTTGGACTGGTTGCCGCATGTCCGCAACCAAACGAGTCATCAGATGTTCCTACCCATGGGCTATTTCAACTTGCCTCGAATACAGTGGACTTAGGCTGAATTTCTCTCCGGCCACTGTGAAAGCGAGAGGAAGTTTACGTAACTGATATTTGAAACCGGGGCCACACGGCAAATTAATCAACCGACACGCATAACTGCGCGCGCGCCCCCATGGTGCTTAGACCTGCTTTGACTAGTTGTGAGCAACGCGTGCATGACATTCAAGTCTTAGAGCCTCTGGGAGCGAGTGACCACTCAATGATCATAGCCAGCTTGGAACTACCGCTGACGTATTCTCCCCCACTGGAGCCAGCCTTCAACTATTGGAAGGCGGAGTTTAATGGCCTCATTCGAGCAGCCAGCCTGGTAGACTGGTCTTTACCACAGGATTCATCTGTTGAAACCTGTTGGGCTATCATTAAAGATGGAGTGAAATCGTTGTGTGCCCGATTTGTACCCCTCAAATTTCGAAAAGTTGGGCCAGTCAAACTACATTGGTTCGACAAAGAATACAGCAAACTGGCCCGATTACGACGCAGACTATGGAACAAATTCGTGTTATCTGCATCTGATGAGGAAGGACTACAAGGCGTACGAGGTACAGTGAAATCGTTGCAACAACGCGAAAACAAGAAAACGCATGAGCTTCGAAGAG